CCCAAATAGCTGGGACTACAGGCGCAGGCCGCCACACCTGGCTAATCTGAGTGTGTTTTGTAGAGACAGTGTTTCCCCATGTCATCCACATTGGTCTCAAACTGTTGGGCTCAAGTGATCCTCCCACCTTGGCCTCCCAAAGCGTTGGGATTACAGGTGCAAGCCACAGTGCCCAGCCATTTCCAAGTTTTAAAGCAACAGAAGGTACCAGCATGGCACAGACAGAGGGTTTTGACCCCACAGACACAGTTTAGCCTCCTGCATGGACGGTAGCCTTTGGAAGGCCATGTGGCTCTCACACAGAAGGGGAGGCTGCAGGTGCAGACGCTGAAGACTGACAAAAGGAAGCTAAGAACAATATGGGAGGCTCATTTTTTTATAAATTAAGGATATTAGAGAACGACATATAGATATATAATAGTAGTTCCCATTTATTGAGCAGTTACTGTCTGCCTACACTGTGCTAAAAGTGATCTATCCGTAGGTATTAACACATTTGGTCTTTTGCTGTTGTTATCACCTTGTTTGATGGGTGAGGAAGGAACTTACCTCAGGCAGTCTAATTCCATGCTCTTTATCTTATTTATTTATTTATTTATTTATTTTTGAGACAGAGGTTCACTCTTGTTGCCCAGGCTGGAGTGCAATAGCATGGTCTCAGCTCACTGCAACCTCCATTTCCTGCGTTCAAGCTGTCCTCCTGCCTCAATTTCCCAAGTAGCTGGGATATAGGCATCTACCACCATACCTGGCTAATTTTTGTATTTTAAGTAGAGACGGGGTTTTGCTATATTGGCCAGGCTAGTCTTGAACTCCTGACCTTAAGTGATCCACCCACCTTGGCCTATGAAAGTGCTGAGATGACATGCGTGAGCCACGGTGCCTGGCCTTTTTTTAGTTTATTTGTTTTTGACAGAGGGTCTCAATCTGTCACCAAGGCTGAAATATGGATCATGACTCATGCAACCTTGAACTCCTGGGCTCAAGTGATCCTCCTGCCTCAGCCTCCTGAGTACCTGGGACCACAGGTGCGCATCACTATGCTCAGATAATTTTTAAAATTTCTATAGAGATGGGGGCCTCACTATATTGCCCAGGCTAGTCTTGAACTCCTGGCCTCAAGCGGTCCTCCCGCCTTGGCCTCCCACAGTTCTGGGATTACAGGCATGCGCCACTGAACCTGGCCTAATTTTTGTATTTTTGGTAGAGAGGAGGTTTCACCATATTGGCCAGGCTGGTCTTGAACTCCTGACCTCAAGTGATCCACCTGTCCCAGCCCCCACAAAGTGCTGGGATTACAGGCATGAGCCACTGTGCCCAGCTTGGCATCATTTTCCTTTCAGGGAGCTGAGCTCCTGGGATGAACTGAGAGGACTGTAGTGCCGGGGCCCACGCAGTGCACCACTAGGTCTTGCAGAGTAGGACTGGCCTCCTTTGGACAGAGTGAGCTCCTGGAGTTCCCAGACTATTCTGGAAGAGGCCTCAAGAGGGAGATGCTGGGCTTTTTAACAATAAATGCATGAGGATGCGGTAGAGATTGGTTCAAAAAAAGTCACCACAGCACAGCGGCTGGGCTGTTCTCCAGGCTGGTTAAGCGGCCCGTGAGTGTGTGTGCATGTGTGGACACTCCATGTTATCGGTGATGATTTTCTCTGAAAAATGGATTTGGGTCACGGTGCACTGTTATGTTTTACTTTATACACTTTTTTTTTTTTTTTTTTTTTGAGACGGAGTCTCTCTCTGTCACCCAGGCTAGAGTGCAATGGTGCAATCTTGGCTCACTGCAACCTTTGCCTGGTGGGTTCCAGTGATTCTTGTGCCTCAGCCTCCCAAGTAGCTGGGATTACAGGCACACACCACCATGCCTGACTAATTTTTGTATTTTTAATAGAGACAGGATTTCTTTTTTTCTTTTTTTTTTTTTTTTGAGACGGAGTTTCACTCTTGTTACCCAAGCTGGAGTGTAATGGCGCAATCTAGGCTCACCGCAACCTCCGCCTCCTGGGTTCAGGCAATTCTCCTGCCTCAGCCTCCTGAGTAGCTGGGATTACAGGCACGAGCCACCATGCCCAGCTAATTTTTTGTATTTTTAGTAGAGACGGGGTTTCACCACGTTGACCAGGATGGTCTCGATCTCTTGACCTCGTGATCCACCCGCCTCCGCCTCCAGAAGTGCTGGGATTACAGGTGAAAGCCACCGCCACATGTATTACTTTTTTTTTTTTTTTTTTGAGACAGGGTCTCTCTCACTCCAGTTGCCCAAGCTGGAGTACAGTGGCTTGGCTCACTGCAGCCTCTACCTCCCAGGCTCAGGTGATTCTCCCACCTCAGCCTGCCAAGTAGTTAGGACTTACAGGCAGGCACACGCAACCACGCCTGGCTAATTTTTCGTATTTTTAGTAGAGACGGAGGTTTCATCATGTTGTCAAGGCTGGTCTTGAACTCCTGGACTCAAGTGATCCGCCTGCCTCAGCCTCCCAAAGTGCTGGGATTACAGGCATGAACCGCCTCACCTGGCTAGCAATGTCATCTTTTTCCCCATTCAGATGAAGATCTTGAGAGGCGATCATGGTGCTGGCCAGCTTGACTGCAGACAGAAATCCCATACCTGGCCACAGGGGTAGGTGTCAGATCAACCTACTCAGATGACAATTTGCCATGAGAAATCAAGAGCATTGCTATCCTAGCACTTTAGGAGGCCGAGGTGGACGATCACTTGAGGTCAGGAGTTCGAGACCAGCCTGGCCAACATAGTGAAACCCTGCCTTACTAAAAATACAAAAATGAGCCAGGCATGATGGCAGGTGCCTGTAATCCCAGGTACTCGGGAGGCTGAGAATCTCTTGAACCCAGGAGGTGGAGGTTGCAGTGAGCAGAGACCGAACTATTGCACTCCAGCCCGGGCGACAGAGAGAGATTCCATCTCAAAAAAAAGATGAATGAATGAATGAAATAGAGTTCCTGACACAGAGTAAGTGCTGCAGTTTAACTGTTAGCTGTTTTCATCATTGGTATTTCAGACTCCTGGACAGAAATGACATGTTTACCCACAAGGCAGCAGAGACCTGTGACCACGTTAAGTGTCTTTGTTTTGGCTAACCTTTATATCCACTGTGGAGCGGTGGATTTTCTTCTGCTGATCCAAAGCTTTCACTGGCAGTTCCACGTGACTTTGCTTGAGTGTTTACTGTTTAATTTTTTTTTTTTTTTTTTTTTTTTTTTTTTTTTTTTTGAGACGGAGTTTCGCTGTTGTTACCCAGGCTGGAGTGCAATGGCGCGATCTCAGCTCACCGCAACCTCCGCCTCCTGGGTTCAGGCAATTCTCCTGCCTCAGCCTCCTGAGTAGCTAGGATCACAGGCACACACCACCATGCCCAGCTAATTTTTTGTATTTTTAGTAGAGACGGGGTTTCACCATGTTGACCAGGATGGTCTCGATCTCTTGACCTCGTGATCCACCCGCCTCGGCCTCCCAAAGTGTTGGGATTACAGGCTTGAGCCACCGCGCCCGGCCTTGTTTAATTTTTTTAAATTAATTTTTAATTTTTTTTTTGAGACGGAGTTTCACTCTTGTTGCCCAGGCTAAGGTGCAGTGGCATGATCTCAGCTCACTGCAACCTCCACTTCCTGGCTTCAAGTGATTCTCCTGCCTCAGCTGCCCAAGTAGCTGGGATTATCGGCGCCTGCCATCATGCCCGGCTAAATTTTTTTTGTATTTTTAGTAGAGACAGGGTTTTACCCTGTTGGCCAGGCTGGTCTTGAATTCCTGACCTCAGGTGATCCACCCACCTTGGCCTCCCAAAGTGCTGGGATTACAGATATGAGCCACCGTGCCTGATCTATTTTAAATTTATTAATATTATTTTTGAGACAGGGTCTCGCTCTGTTGCCAAGGCTGGAGGGCAGTGGTGCATGTAACCTTCAAGTGTAACCTTGAACTCCTGGCTCAAGCGATCCTCTTGTCTTAGCCGCCCAAAGTGTTGGGATTACAGGCTGGAGCCACTGTGTGCAGGCTTAAAGTGGTTGGTTTGTTTTGAGACAAGGTCTCTGTGTTGCCCAGGCTGGAGTGCAGTGGTGCAATCATGGCTCACTGCAGCCTCAAATTCCCAGGCTCAAGCAATCCTCCCACGTCAGCCTCCTACCTAGTCGCTGGAACCACAGGCATGCCACCATGCCCAGCTAATTTTTTCTATTTTTTTGTGGAGACAGGATCTCACTATATTGCCTAGGCTTCAGCCCTTCAGCCCTAAGTTGTTTTTGTTTTTGTTTTTGTTTTTTTCATAAAATGGAGTTTCACTCTTGTCGCTCACCCAGGCGGGAGTGCAGTGGTGTGATCTCGGTTCACCGCAACCTCCGCCTCCAGGGTTCAAGTGACTCTCCTGCCTCAGCCTCCCGAGTAGCTGGTATTACAGGTGCCCGACACCACGCCTGGCTAATTGTTATATTTTTAGTAGAGATGGGGTTTCACCATGTTGGCCAGGCTGGTGTCGAACTCCTGATCTCAGGTGATCCACCCACCTCAGCTTCCCAACGTGCTGGGATTGAGCCATGGTGCCGACCCCTCCTCAGTCTTTCTAGTAGCTGGGACCACAGCTGCACCACCGTGCCTGGCTAAAAAAAAAAAGCCTTTTCGGCTGGGCACAGTGGCTCATGCCAGTAATCCCAGCACTTTGGGAGGCCACGGCAGGCAGATCATGAGGTCAAGAGATTGAGACCATCCTGGCCAACATGGTGAAACCCCGTCTCTAAAAAATTAGTGGGCATGGTGGTGCACATCTGTAGTCCCAGCTGCTCAGGAGGCTGAGGCAGGAGAATCACTTGCACCCAGGAGGAGGAGATTGCAGTGAGCCGAGATCATGCCACTACCTGGCAACAGAGTGAGACTTCATCTCAAAAACGAAAACAACTTTTCTGCAGATGAGATCTCACTATATTGCCCAGGGCCATGTTAAACTCCTGGCCTCAAACGATCCTCCCAACTCGGACTCCGAGTGTGCTGAGATTACAGGCGTGAGCCACACACCCGACCTGTAACAAGATTGAAGAGAGGCTCATCTCACCCCTGAGCATGAAAGCCCAATCATGATGCTTACAAACCAGAAAAGGATCATACAGCAAATATTTACTAAACAGGCTGTCTGCTGTGCACGCCGGGGGCATATACAGCATGCACATGGGCTGTGTGTGTGAGCAGGAGTGTATAGAATAGGGCAGCTGTGAGCACAGGTGTTCATAAGTGAGTTCATCTACAGCTCTGTCTACATGGTTGTGGGTGTGGTGTGCCCAGCATGAGTTTTGCGTCTTGGCAGGCTCTGCTTCCCCAGCCTGGAGCACCCTCTCTCCTTTGGTCTCCCAATTATGCCTGTTTATCTTTGAAGACTCAGTACAGGCGTGACCTGTGCTGCGCAGCCTTCCCTGGCTCCTCTGGCCAGGTCAGTTGCATCAGTTGTCCCTGGCATTGTTGTTGCTTCCCTCACCTTTGCAGTGTGAGGGCAGGGACAGGGCGTGGCCCTTCAAGTCTGTCACTCTGGTGATCGGAACAGGCTTGACCAGGGTATTAACAGGGATGATAACAGCTGCTACTCAGACTCAATGGGTCTGGCTACACTTGGGGCCTCACTTAATCCCATTTCTTTTTTTTTTTTTTTTTTTAAGACGGGGTTTCACCATGTTGGTCAGGCTGGTCTTGAACTCCCGACCTCAGGTGATCCGCCCGCCTTGGCCCCCAAAGTGCTTGGATTACAGGCCTCAGCCACCACGCCCAGCCTTAATCCCATTTCTTAATCTCATCTCAGGTGAGGAAGTGAATTTCCAGGAAGATCACTAATTGAAGCAGGTATGTGGTAGAGCCGGACAGTGACCCCTGAGCTTGGTGCCAGCCCTGTCACTCCCATACCAGCCTCTGTTCAGGACTATTTTATGCCTTTTTAAAACTTTATTTTGGAAGAGATATCACACACATGTAGGAAATGGTGCAGAACATAGGAAAGCATTTAACACTGAAATGGGCCAGGCGCGGTGGCTCACACCTGTAATCCCAGCACTTTTGGAGGCTGAGGCGGGTGGATCATGAGGTCAGGAGATCGAGACCATCCTGGCCAACATGGTGAAACATCCTCTCTACTAAAAATACACAAAAATTAGCTGGGCGTGGTGGCCTCCGCCTATAATCCCAGCTACACGGGAGGCTGAGGCAGGGGAATTGCTTGAACCCAGAAGGCAGAGATTGCAGTGAGCCAAGATCGTGCCACTGCACTACAGCCTGGGTGACAATTTGAGACTCTGTCCCCCCCAAAAAAGAAAAAAAAAAAATACAGAAATGTGTCCCACCACCCCTGGCCCCTGGGCTTCCTGCCCCTCGCCGAGGAGGCAACCACTGTTCCCAGGATCTTGTGTGTCAGGGCCCCTTCACACTGGGCTCCCTCACCCTGGGGCTGTGTATGCACAAGTCTATGTGTGCACATCCTTCTGGAGAGGTTTAAACATGCATAAATACAGACGCAAATAGACAAGAGTCTCATTCTCATCCAAGCTGGAGCACAGCTGGGCCATCTCGGCTCACTGCAACCTCCGCCTCCCGGGTTCAAGCAGTTCTCCTGCCTCAGCCTCCTGAGTAGCTGGGATTATAAGTGCTTACTACCATGCCTGGCTAATTTTTGTATTTTTAGTAGAAATGAGGTTTTACCATGTTGGTCAGGCTGGCCTTGAACTCCTGACCTTGTAATCTACCCACCTTGGCCTCCCAAAGTGCTGGGATTACAGGTGTGAGCCACCGCACTCAGCCCCCCACCCTTTTTTTTGAGACGGAGTTTCTCAGGTCACCCAGCTGGAGTTCAATGGCATGATCTAGGCTCACTGCAACCTGAGCCTCCCGGGTTCAAGCGATTTTCGTGCCTCAGCCTCCTGAGTAGCTGGGATTACAGGCTTGTGCCACCATGCCCCGCTTTTTTTTTTTTTTTTTTTTTTTGAGATGGAGTTTCGCTCCTGTTACCCAGGCTGGAGTGCAATGGCGCAATCTCGGCTCACCGCAACCTCCGCCTCCTGGGCTCAAGCAATTCTCCTGCCTCAGCCTCCTAAGTAGCTGGGATTACAGGCACAAGCCACCACGCCCAGCTAGTTTTTTGTATTTTGAGTAGAGACGGGGTTTCACCATGTTGACCAGGATGGTCTCGACCTCTCGACCTCCTGATCTGCCCGCCTCGGCCTCCCAAAGCGCTGGGATTACAGGCTTGAGCCACCGCGCCTGGCCTTGCCCCGCTATTTTTAATTGAGACAGGGTTTCACCATGTTAGCCAGACTGGTCTCAAACACCTGACCTCAGGTGATCACCCACCTCGGCCTCCTAAAGTGCAGATTACAGGCGGGAGCCACTTCCTTCTTCTAATGCTGGAATTAATGTTCCTGTCACCTTTCAGACACACTTGGCCAGTGCACCAGCTGCCCAGCTCCTGAGAGAGGACACAGCCACATGGGGGCAGCTGGGATGTGGCTCTGGAGATGCCACAGTTGAGGTCCCTGGGCTAGTAGATGGCCAAGCCAGGTGACCAACTTGAAGACGCAGGCTCCGCCAGCCTGGTTGAGTCCTGGCATTGAGAAGCCACAAGGGAGCTCACAGAGGGTGGGATCAACTGGGGCCAGGATGGCCAGAGTTAGGGAGGGGTTGGCCTGGGAGTTCCAGGCAGGGATCAGCCTGTGTAAAAGCTCAGGGGCTCTGGAAAGCAAGCAAGGTTGGCAGCCCCTGAGACTTAGGCGATGAGACTTAGGCTTCGGCGTGGTGACAGGGCAAGGGCCAGCCAACCACACAGGCAACCCCCGAAACCCCTCCTGCCCTTTGCAAGGGGCTCTAGCCTTTCTGGGCCCTTTGGGAAGAAGCCGTTGCCCTGCTTTACTAGGGAAACTGAGGCAGGAGTGTGGGGTGGCTCATTCAAATCAGCCTCACCAAGGTACACCCAGACCTCCCCCGATGCCTACCCCCAGGCAGGGGGACCCAAGGTACCCAGTCCCCAGGCAACCTCCAATAAGATGTGGGTCAGCTCAGGTGGCCACCTGGGCTGTGAGGCCAACTGACCTGGCTGTCACCTCATCGTGCTGCTGAGTCCCGGCCCCCTATCGGGGACTACTGTGCCACCTCCCTCATCAGGCTGCTCTGGGGATTAAAGGAGCTCTTGAGTGAAAGGCTTGTTCCAGGGTCCCGCCCACAGTAAGTGCTCAGCAAAAGGCAGGCATTGTCACTGTTGGGGAGGCCTCTGGGCAGGGAGGGGAGATGCGCTGTAGAGTCAGATCTGCTGGGATGTGAGCCACCAAACTGCTGTCCTTGGGTAAGCCCTGCCTCCTCTCTGAGCCTGTTTCCTCCTGTAACAAGGGGAGAGCAGGACTTTAAAGGGTTGCTGTGAGCATTAGAAGGTTGGCCGTCATAATGTTTGCTCATGGCGGATGCGCCATCAAAGTTGAGTCCCCTTGTAAAGTACTGGGGGACTTTATGGGATGATAGGGGTGACTCACAGTTACATCTGGCCCTCTCATGTGCCGGAAACTGCCATTAGCCTCCAGCCCTTCAGGCTGGCTGCTGGGCTTCTCAGTGGGTTTATGGGGACGTCCAGGCCCTCGTCATTACAGGTGTGAGCCACTGCGCCTGGCCCACTTCCTCCTTCTCATGCTGGAATGAATGTTCCTGTCACCTTTCAGACACACTTGGCCACTGCACCAGCTGCCTGGCTCCTGAGAGGAGCAGCTGGAATATGGCTCTGGAGATGCCACAGTGGAGGTCACAGGGCTAGTGGATGACACAGACTTTCAGTGACTGAATGAGTGACGAGGGGAGAGACTGAGGCTGAGGAGCTGAGGCTGTGGCTGTTTCCTGCCTTGAGGGTGTCTGACTCAGTGATCGTTCACTTCCAATTAGTCAGTCAGTCAGTCAACAAACACTCATCCCACGGAGACAGACGGCAGGTGCTCGTTTTTTTTTTTTTTTTTTTTTTGAGACGGAGTTTCGTTCTTGTTACCCAGGCTGGAGTGCAATGGCGCGATCTCGGCTCACTGCAACCTCCGCCTCCTGGGTTCAGGCAATTCTCCTGCCTCAGCCTCCTGAGTAGCTGGGATTACAGGCACGCACCACCATGCCCAGCTATTTTTTTTGTATTTTTAGTAGAGACGGGGTTTCACCATGTTGACCAAGATGGTCTCGATCTCTTGACCTTGTGATCCACCCGCCTCGGCCTCCCAAAGTGCTGGGATTACAGGCTTGAGCCACCGCGCCCGGCTGGTGCTCGTTTTGAGTAAAGTGATGGAAGTGATGCTGCAGCACCTCCAGGCCTAACTCATAAGAAGCTTGTAGATTCCACTTGGGGCTCTTGAGGCTCCCTTTATTGTTTTTACTTTTTTTAGAGATGGGTCCCACTTTGTCACCCAGGCTAGAGTGCAGTGGCAGCGATCACAGTTCACTGTAACCTCTAACTCTTGGGCTCAAGCAATCATCCTGCCTCAGCCTCCCAAGTAACTGGGATTCCAGCACCACCACGCCTGGCTTTTTTTTTTTTTTTTTTTGTATATAGGGGGTTTTGCTGTGTTGCCCAGGCTAGTCTCAAACTAACTCTTGGCTGCAAGTGATCCTCCCGCCTCGGCTTCCTGAAGTGCAGTCCTGAGCCACTGCACCTGGCCAGGACTCCCCTTTCTAGGGGAAGTCAACCACCATGTAGGAAGTCAGACTATAGACTGTCCCAAGACCACCATGCTGTGAGGAGCCCAAGCTAGCCCCATGGAGTGGCCAGGTGGAGAGAGTGATGTCCAGGCCGGGCTCGGTGCCTCATTCCCGTAATCCCAGCACTTTGGGAGGCTGAGGTGGGTGGACCACTTGAGGTCAGGAGTTTGAGACCAGCCTGTCTAACATGGTGAAACCCCATCTCTTCTAAAAAAAAAAAAATACAAAAATTAGCTGGGTGTGGTGGTGGGCGCCTGTAATCTCAGCTACTCAGGAGGCTGAGGCAGGAGACTTGCTTGAACCCAGGAGGCAAAGATTGCGCCATTGCACTCCAGCCTGGGCAACAAAGTGGGATGTCTGTCTCCCAAAGTGCTGGGATTACAGGCGTGAGCCACTGTGCCCAGCCGGCATGGTAAATTTTCACGTGTATGTACCCACATGACTATAACCCAGACCATGATATAAACATTTCTGGGACCAGAATGTTCCCTTTTGCACACTGCTCGTCAATGCCCCTCAGCTCAGAGATACCCACTGTTCTGACACTATCACCATAATGTTTTGTCTGTTCTTGAATGTCACCTAAACAAAACCATACAGGCTTCACTCTACTGTGGTTACTTCTGCTGAGCATTTTATCTGCTTCACCAATGTTTTGTATGTAGCAATTCTTTAAACATTGCTGTATAGGCTAGGCACGGTGGCTCACGCCTGCACGCCTGTAATCCCAACACTTTAGGAGTCTGAGGCGGGTAGATCACGAGGTCAGGAGTTTGAGACCAGTCTGGCCAATGTGGTGAAATCCTGTCTCTCTCTTTTTTTTTTTTTAATTGCTCTATGTATGAATATACCACAATTTATTCATTCTGTAACTGATCGGCAACTATACTGTTTATTTGCTGATGTGAGTATTCCCATACTCATCCTTTTGTGCATGTAAGCACTCATTTCTCTTGGGTATGTAAGCAGGAGTGGAAATGCTAGGCCGTAGGGTAGATGTGTATTTAACTGTGTTTCCCGCCATGGTTGTACAAAGCACACTCTCTCGAGCAGCGCCTGGGAGCTGCTATCCTCCACATTCCTACCAGCACGTAGTCCTGGCAGACCTTTTCCTCTGAGCTATTCTAATAGTGGGGGAGTGTGATCTCATGTTTTTGTTTGTTTGTTTTTTGAGACACCCTCACTCTTGTTGCCCAGGCTGCAGTACAGTGGCGCCATCCCGACTCACCACCGCCTGTGCCTCCCGGGTTCAAGCGATTCTCTTGCCCCAGCCTCCCGAGTAGATGGGATTACAGGTGCCTGCCACCACGCCCGGCTAATTTTTGTATTTTTAGTAGAGCCAGTTTCACCATCTTGGCCAGCCTGGTTTTGAACTCCTGACCTCATGATCCACCCACCTCAGCCTCCCAAAATGTTGGGATTACAGGCGTCGAGCCCCCACGCCGGGCTGATCTCCCGGTTTTTGATAAGATGTGGAGCACCTTCCTGCGATTGGTCTGGTTTTTGTAGCTCCCCTAGGCAGCCCTGGGAAGATGGGAGCGAGGCTGGAGACGGGATGTTGCCACAGCCAGGTGTGAGATGGGGGAGCCCCAAGTTAGGCTGAGGCTAGAACGGAGGCAGAGCATGGGACTGAGAGCCGTCCTGGGGGGGATGGTGGGATGGTGAGGATGGACGCCGGGGCTGCCAGCGACAGACATCCCGTCTCCTTGTGGCTAGGAAGCCCCCTTATCTCCTAAGCAAGCAGTGCTGAGGCAGGCAGCGCCGAGCCTGGGGGATTTGATGGCACAGGGTCTTGGCTCTTTCTTCTGCTCTGACTTTTTCAGCCATTGACGAGGCCAGATGGCGGTGAGGCCAGAAGAGAGGGGTCCCCTCCTTTTGCCTCCTCCCCACCGTTTTTTTTGAGACGGAATTTTGCTCTTGTTGCAAAGAGCAAAACTCTTTGCTTAGGCTGGAGTGCAGTGGCGCGATCTCAGATCACTGCAACCTCTACTGCCTGAGTTAAAGTGATTCTTCGCCTCAGCCTCCCAAGTAGCTGGGATCACAGGAGCTTGGTACCACGTCTGGCTAACTTTTTGTAATTTTTGTAGAGATGGGGTTTCACCGTGTTGGCCAAGCTGGTCTTAACTGACCTCAGGTGATCCCCCTGACTTGGCCTCACAAAGTGCTGGGATTGCAGGTGTGAGCCACCTCGCCCAGCCTCTTGTGCCCCTTTTTAAGACCAAGGACACCCTTCCCAGATGCCCCTCCGCCCTGCTCCCAAGACTTCCCCCACATTTTACTGGAACTGCATCCCTTGTCCATTCCTGAACCAATCCCTGGCAAGGGAATGGGAAGCAACTTCCGCCCACTCCACGAGGTCACTCTCCTGTGGGTCACTCCCTGAACACACCAGGGACACTTGCTCCTGCTCCTGCCTCCGCATGGAAGGCCCTTCCTGATCCTTCCATCTGGAAGAGTCATCTTTCAAAGCTGCTTCCGGCCGGGCGCGGTGGCTCAAGCCTGTAATCCCAGCACTTTGGGAGGCCGAGGCGGGTGGATCACGAGGACAAGAGATCGAGACCATCCTGGTCAACATGGTGAAACCCCGTCTCTACTAAAAATACTAAAAATTAGCTGGGCATGGTGGCACGTGCCTGTAATCCCAGCCACTCAGGAGGCTGAGGCAGGAGAATTGCTTGAACCCAGGAGGCGGAGGTTGCGGTGAGCCGAGATCGCGCCATTGCACTCCAGCCTGGGTAACGCGAAACCTCCGTCTCAAAAAAAAAAAAAAAAAAAAAAAAAAGCTGCTTCCAAAGGCACTTCCACCTGCAGGAGGGGTTGGGGTCTCCTCTGGGTCCTCACAGCCACCCCTACTGGATGTGGCCAGTTTCTGTAGGTCTCAGAAATGGAACCTCTTCCCAGCTCCATGTGACCATAATCAGCACAGCTGGCCATGGTGAGGGCTCCAGCCCACTGGGCCTGGGCCTGGAGTGGCCACAACCCCTGACCTTACCCCTGCCCAGGTTTGGGCATGACCTCAGAGCAAAGCCTCAGGGGAGGACTGGAACTGAAAGAAAAACACCCATTTGATGGAGAAGAAAACTGAGGCTCAGAGAGGGGTATGACTTGCGCAAGGTCATGGTCAGGGCCAGTCTCAGCTCCAGGCCTCTCCCTCAGGCCTGGGCCCTGTGCCCTACCCCAGGGCTCCTCAGACTTCAAGGGTCACCGTCAATCACTCGGGCAGCCTGTGAAAATGCAGACGCTGGTTAAATGGGCCGGGGTGGGGCTGGACTTGCTATGTCACCCGCTCCCAGCTGCCACTGGCCTGCAAGCCACACTGGGGGTGTCACAGTGCTTGCTCAGGGAGGCCCCACGCTCAAAAGCCCGGAGGCCACTGCTTTAGGGTGGGTGGGGTGTGGGTAGGGTGTGAGTGGGGAAGCCACTTCAAGAAACCCCAGTATCTGTTCTGGTTTTGTCAGCCATCTAGGACACCAGAGCTGCTGGAACGTTTTATTAAGTTAAGAGGTTCAGGGAGCAGGAGAGAAACACCTTTTGCATGGCATGGCCTCAGAGGAGGCTGTGGGGCCATGAGGCCGGCTGCTGGCTCCCTCTGTCCCGAGCCCCACAGTATGGGCCATGTGGGGCAGGAAGTGTTAGTAGGAGGTAGGGTGGGAAGAGGGTGGTGGGCTCCTGCCTCTCCCCTGCAGAGACAGCTCGCTGTGGCCGCTGCTGCCTGGGCCTCCGCCAGACCCCTGGGTCAGGGACACCAGCCCAGAAGCCCAAGAAGAGGGTGGCTGGAGACAGAGCGGGGGACCAGGGTTGGAGGCACACAGCCACCAGGAATTGCTTTTTGCTTTTTTTAAAGTATAAAGTGTTTTGGAAAAAAAGGAAAAAAATCTATATAAAAATCTTTTCACATATAAAATCCTGAAGAAGGTGCAAGACCCAGTGCGAGGGGCGCGCTCAGATACGCAGTGTGTGTGTGTGTCCGTGTGTGTCTGTGTGTGTGTTTGGTGGGTGCGAGTGCATGTGTGGCCCACAGAGGGTGGGAAGAAAGCTTGGCTTTGGACTTCCATCCAGCAGGGAAGGAGGGTGGCTGCTCCTCCAGGCTGGAGGGTCTGCAGCTGGGCAGGACCTGAAAGACAAGGTGTGGCAGGGCTGAGGCCTGGGCTGAGAGGCTGCGAGGCCACCCGCAGGCCAGGCGAGCGTGGTGACTGGGTCCTTCCACTGCCGCCTTGCAGTCCTGAGGGTGCAGCCAGATCTGCTCTTCCCGGCTCCTTCCCAAGTAGCTCGGCCACAGAGTGGCCTCTCCTGTGTCTTAAGAAGTCCATGGGGACTTGTCAGAAAGAGGACGTTTCAGGTAGATGTGATGTTGAAAAAGCAAAAATAAAACACTTTGTGCAGGTGCAGCAGCTCACGCCTGTAATCCCAGAACTTTGGGAGGCTGAGGCAGGTGGACTGCTTGAGCCCAGGAGTTTGAGATCAGCCTGGGAGACAGGGCGAAACCCTGCCTATAAAAAAGTACAAAAATTATCTGGGCATGGTGGTGGGGGCCTGAGGTCCCAGCCACTCGGGAGGCTGAGGTGGGAGGATCCCTTAAGCCCAGGAGGTTGAGGCTGCAGCAAGCTGTGACTGCATTACTGCACTCCAGCCTGGGTGACAGAGCAAGATCCTGTCTCAAAACAAACGAACAAAACCACTTCGAGCCCCGCTAAGTCCAGAATCAGTTAAGACTAACCAGGACAGAGGCCCCGCCTCGGTGCGCAGTGTCCGAGTGTGAGGTGGGTGGAGGCTCACTGTGGGTGAGCGTTACACGTGCCTCCAGCCCCGAGGCGGGTGTGCGCTGAGCCGGCTGTGGCTCCGCACTGCGCTGCCCAGCTCTGGGAGAACAGGCTCAAGCAGATGAGGCAGCCTGCGGCCCGGGGCTGATGGGATCTCAGCGACAACCTCGTGTTGCTGGCTTCATGGTCCCTTTCACAGAACGGGAATTGGAGGCCAGGAGAAGGAAGTGCCCTGGCTGGGGTGGCCCAGGGAGTCCTGGGTGTGGGAGAGCCTCAGCCCCTGCCCAGCCTGCAGGGTGCACGCCTCGGCACCCACCTCTACTCAGCCAGGCTGTTGCGCACGGCCTCCTTCTCCTGCAGGGCGGCCATGGCAAGGCGCAGGTGCTCCTTCAGCTGCTCGATCTCCCGTTCCGACCGCGTCTTGATGTGGCTCAGCTCCACGTAGACGTCCTGGTACTTTCCCGAGGTGAAGCGCTTGTCCTGCGCGGCAGGAGGAGGCTGTGAGGGAATGAAGCCTCTCCCTCCAGCCCGGCCCACCTGGCACCTGGGCAGCACCAGCAGCCAGACCTCCCTGGAGCCCCCTTGCTTCATACATCCAGGTGGCTCCCCCAGGTGGCTCTGGTCTTGGTCTTACCCCTCCCACCCCCCTGGTACCACCCAGGGACACAGGCATCATTGGCATCCTCATCCTGTTTGGGAGGAGATTTTGCCTAAGAACGAAGAGCAGTGAGTGGCTGGGATGAGAACCAGGTCAGCCTGGCCGGGTGCTCGGGCCCTTCCCGTGAGTTCGTGCCAGCTGTTCTTCAAGCACGGTAAACATGTTCTGGCTGAAACATGCTTACAGAGTCCACTTCCTGCCCCAAACTGACAGCACCAGGCAGGGACATAGCAGCCAAGGGTGGGCCAGGTGGGCTGCAGATTCCCACCTGGGCTGAACCCTGACACTCCCAACTCCTAGCAATGTGGCTATTCTCACTTGAGTGCAAGGTCCACACCGCAGAGATCTGGGGCTATTTTGTTCATATCTGTCTTCCCAGCACCTAGCGCAGTGCCTGGGACCTAGTAGGTGCTCAATAATCATCAATAAATTGAATAATGCTAAATAAATAGAAGCAAGGATGGCCTTGGGCAAGTCACTTCCCCATTCTTAGCCTCAGTTTCCCTGTCAGTGAATGGGGATGATGACATCTACATGGGAGAGGCACAGGAGAGCCTGAGGAAGGATGAGGCAAGTGGAGGGCTTGGCACAGGGCAGGTGCTCACAGGATGGCACCCGGGTGGCTCGAGGCCCCCACGGCCCCACGCGCAGTGGCAGGACCTACCTCCTGCATCAGCCGGAGCTCGTCGCGGAGGCACTGCACCTCCTTCTTCAGGTACTGGAGCTCATTCTCCTTTACTCGAAGCAGCACCTGGGGACATAGGTGCCAGGCTGACCCAGGGCCAGAAGCCAGGGCTGCCCTGGCCCACAGCGCCCTGCAGCCTGCCTTCTCTCTGCCTCAGGCCCCTAGAATGCAGTCCCTATCCGCACCCAAACCCTGGACATCCTGGAGTCGGACTCCTCCAGGAAGCCCTCTCTGATTCCCCTGCTTTCCCTTCCTTTACTCTCACCCCTGTCCAGCCTGTGTGAGTGGCTATTCTCGCGGTCAACTCTGCTGCAGCCCCTCATGCAGCACCACGCTCTCACCTCTGGGGTGAGGAAGAAGAAAAGAAGCCCTACATAAACCTGAGCAGCCGGGTCACCCCACAGGCCACCTCACTAACCCCTCCCAACCCTGAGGGCCAGGTGCTGCTGACTTGACCAAGGAAGAGACAAGTTCAGCCAGGACTGGGGAGGCTTAAAGGCTCAGACGGGAGCCAGACTGCCTGCTTCAAGTCCCAGGCCAGCTGTGCAAGCTTTGGGAAGGTACGTGCCCTCCCCGTGTCTGTCTCATCTGTAAATGCGGACAGTAACAGTAGCCAACGTATGCAGCTGTCGGGAAGATTAGATGAGTTAACAGACCAAAAGGACTTCCAGAAGTTCTAGGCAGAGGGTGAGTCTCACCTAGGTGTTAAGAAATAAAATACCAAGGTTGGGTGTGGTAGCTCATGCCTGTAATCCCAGCATTTTGGGAGGCTGAGGCAGGCGGATCACTTGAGGTCAGGAGTTCGAGACCACCCTGGCCAGCATAGTGAAACCCTATCTCCACCAAACATATAAAAAAAATTAGCTGGGTGTGGTGGTGAGGGCTTGTAATCTCAGCTACTGGGGAGGCTGAGGCAGGAGAATCACTTGAGCCGGGGTGGCAGAAATTTCAGTGAGCTGAGATCGTGCCACTGCACTTCAGCCTGGGTGACCAAGTGAGACTCTGTCTAAAATAAAATAAAATACTAGAGTGATCCTGGGATCACACACGCACATATTTTCTTACCCCAATACTTCCCAGTAAGGGAGGTGCTAGGGCCATTTTACAGATGAGCTACTGGGACTCAGAAAGGTGGAGTGACTGGCTGCGGTACACGGCAGGCAGGCGACACAACCCAGGTGGGAGAGCAGAATTCTGGCAACTGGATGCACAGTAGATGTTCTGGCCGAGTTAGGCTGGCCCAGCCACTGGGGGACTTGGAGTTCCCGTAGCAGGTGATACCCAGCCTGTGGGCCCCAAGAACCACTGGGCTGCCTGGCGCTAGTGTGGGCACTCACCTCTAGCTCACAGGAGCTCCGCTCGTTGCTGCGCCCGCAGCCGTTGCCCATGCCCTGCGAGGCGATGAAGCTGCGCAGCCGGTCTATCTCCTCTGACAGGCGGGCATGCAGCTCCTGGGAGGGGCACAGTGGTCAGGGTAGGGGTGCCGGGACCCACCCACATTGCCCCAACCTGGAGCCAGGCCCACCTGGTTGTGGCGTAGCAGCTCCTGGCCCTCCTGCTGGCAGCGGCGCAAGGTGTGCTCGCGCTCCTCAGCCTGCCGAGTCAGCGCCCCGATCTCTAGGCACTTCTGTGAGTACTGCTCAGATAGCACCTGCAGCTCCCGCTTCAGTGCGTCCACATCTGACCTGCCCCAGAGGAGGAGCAAAGGATGGCATGGGTTATCCTGCCCCTGCCAAGCCTGGAGTCCGGTCATGGCAGACTCAAAGCACCCCAGAACTCGGGGCTTCCCTCTCTAGGTTTGCCTTCAGCCTGCTGTGGGGCTGTGAGCCAGTGACAGCCTCTCTGGATTGCAGGTGTTCCCCCATGACAGAGAGTGGCTTGGAGGAGCATATCTTTAAAGCCCCTGAAGCCTCAACATTCCAATACTGTGCTCTGGGGCAGGGACATACTGGTCAACAGTGACATTGCAGTCCAGCTCTAGGGGAGACTAAAGGGCTGAAGAGGTGGGTGAAGGCTGGACCAGCCAAGACAAGAAGGCGCCTGAAGAGCTGTCTGTGAGGACTGGCATGGGGTCTGCCTGAGGACTTTCTCCTTCTGTTTCTTGCATCCATGAGACCGGTGCAGGAATCTCAGCTAGGGGCAAACTGATGTGTCCTCTGCCAAGGGGTCTCAGCAAAGTTCCTCACTTCGTAACCATTAGGGTGGGCAGCTGGGCCCGGCATCATCTTACTGGTGCTGCTTCCGGAGGCCATCTGGGCCCTGCTGGAGACTCCGTGTTTTGCTCAGCTCTCGGCTCAGCTCTTCCTGGTAGGCCTTCTTCATGGCTTCAATGGCTGGAAGCAGGGCAGAGAGGCACAAGAGAGACTGGAGGGGGGTCAGCAGCACCAAGTGCCACCTGCTCTGAGGTGCCACATGTACCGGTGGAGACAGGACCAAGGAGCGGTGTGCAAAGAGCACTGAACCAGGAGTCCAGAGCAGCCCAGGCTGTGTCATAAACTGAGTGGCTTTGAGCCCATCTATTAAGGGAAGATAATCCTGTTGGATGGACCCTGCTGGAGAGACCTCAGTGTCTGACCACTGGTACCTCCTGTTCTAGTGATTTCTGGGTAGGACCCCACACAGTACACCCTCCCTGCAGACTCAGAGGCCTCTCAAACAAGGCCTATCTGCTTTGCCCAGCCTGGTGGTCAACAGCTCAGGTTCCAGAGTCGGCATAAATCTATGTGACTTTGCACAGGCGACTTAACCCCTCATGCCTCAGGTCCCTTATCTGGAAAACAGGGATAACAAAGTACATTTCCCCATGAGGTTATTGGAAGATGTGTGTGAAGCATTTAGAACAAAGCATGGCTCGGGGTAAATGCCCCAACATTAGCTCCTTCTGGCTTTATCCTCAGACTTGTGAGCGCCTAAGGACCAAGACCAAGGCTTTTTTCCCACTCAGGGTTGTTGTGAGGATTAAACAAGCCACATCCATAGTTTTATCCACAATTCTAAGATCCAAAACTTCTGAACATTGTAAGTTTCTCATAATTCTTTTTTTTGGTTTGTTTTTTTGGATGGAGTCTTGCTCTGTCACCCAGGCTGGAGTGCAGTGGCGCGATCTCAGCTCACTCCAGCCTCCATCTCCTGGGTTCAAGAGATTCTCCTGCCTCAGCCTCCTGAGTAGCTAGGACTACAGGTGTGTGCCATTATGCCCTGCTAATTTTTGTATTTTTAGTAGAGATGGGGTTTCACCATGTTGGCCAGGCTGGTCTTTAACTCCCGACCTCAGGCGATCTGCCCACCTTGGCCTTCCAAAGTGCTCGGATTACAGGCGTGAACCACCACACCTGGCTGGGAGTGTATCTTTTCTGCCTCAGTTTCACCTTTTCAAGTAGGGGCTACAGGCCAGTTCTGGGGGCTTCCAACCCCTGCTGACCCTTACCCCAAATGCGGCACTGAGACCCCTACCTCTTATTTGATAAAATCCTCCCTAATTTGGCCAGGAGGAGCCTCAGTGGGGAGGCTGAGGGCTCGGCCCACTGTGCCCCACCCAGGGTCCACACCTGAGGCCGTGGCTGCTGTCTCCTCGGCCAGGAGCCACTCCTTCTCCTGCTGTAGTCGCTGCAGTTCTCGCTCGTGGTGCCGCTGCAGCTCCTCCATCACCTGCTGGTGTGAGGACTCCATCTCTGCCAGGCTGCGCTCACATGCCTCCTGCGGGCCGGAGGCCAGGGTGTCAGGGGCTGCCTGTTCCTCTGGCCCTTTCCCAGACTCCAGAGAAGGCCCAGGGGCAGGCGCACCACCTCTTCCTGGGCCCTGGCACCTCCAGCCTGCACCTACTGCTGCTCCACCCGCCACCCCATGGCTCCTCGTTCACAAACCTCGCCTTGTCACTCCTGCCTCAAGCCCTCCAGGGACTCCCTCTCCCACAGAGTCAAGTCCCTGCTCCCATGGCTGACGTTTGCGGTCTCATCCCCAGTCCTTCCCGCCAAGCAACCTTGTAGTTATGGTTGCAGCACGTTCACACCTCTGAGCTTTTAGCTCATGCTATTCCCACTGCCTGGAACACTTTTTTGGCAACTTTACCTCCCTGGGGAATTTACTGACCTGCAACCCAGTTTAAATGTCTCTCCTAGGTCTGTCTCTGGGCAGCCTCTCCCCTGCCTCAAAATGTTCTGCTTCTGCCAAACCATAAGTTCCCTGAAGACTGAGAACACCTGACTGGTGCAGTCCCCAGGGTCTAGGCCAGGGCCTGACATGTGGCAGGTGCTCAGAAAATGAGCTGAAACTGATGACATAATGCAAAATAATGCTTAGTAGACAAGATGGGCAAGTATCTCAAAGACTAGTAATACCCACTACTGGGAGTGTCCGCCGTGACGGTGTGTGTGAGGGGGGTGGTCGGGTGGCATCATCACATTTTGAGACCCCACTGGCTGACCTAGCAGGCCCACTCCTTTTCTGATCCCACAGAAAGTCACATGTGTACAGACACTCCTGGAACAAGGATATTTCTTCCCTACGGCAAGGTTGGTAACAGATGAAAACTGGAAACAATCTAAATGCCTATCAGGGGAACTCTGGAATAAATGATGGGATCGAGCTTTACTTTTTTTTTTTTTTTTTGATGGAGTCTCGCTCTGTTGGCCAGGCTGGAGTGCAGTGGCATGATCTCGGTTCACTGTAGTCTCTGCCTCCTGGGTTTAAGCGATTCTTCTGCCTCAGTCTCTCAAGTAGCTGGGATTACAGGCAACCACCACCAGGCCCGACTAATTTTTGTATTTTTAGTAGAGACAAGGTTTCATCATGTTGGCCAGGCTGGTCTTGAACTCCTGACTTCATGATCCACCCACCTTGGCCTCCTAAAGTGCTGGGATTACAGGCGTGAGTCACCACGCCCGGCCTAGACAGAGTTTTTATGTGGATGCTATGGAAAAAGACCCCCAATCAGGTAAAGCTGGCTTCTGACATGCGTGGTATGATCTCACTCACGGGAACAAATGTGCAGACCTGTCCGTCCCAGTCCTTGGACACAAAAACACAGAAAAGGTAGGGAGGAGATTGTGGGGGGCAGAATGACAGACCCCCAAAGTTGCCCACATCCTACTCCCAGGATCTGGGACTGTCATGTTACGTGGCATAGAGGAATTCAGACTGCTGAGGGAATTAAGGTTGCTAATCAGCTGACCTTAAAATCGGGAGATTATCCCAGATTATCCCTGGAGCCCAGTGTAATCCCAAGGGTCCTTAAAAGTGGACGAAGGGGCAGCAACAAAGAGTTCAAGGGAGGTGTGACCAGGAAGGGATGGTCAGAGTGACGTGACGGGAGGACTCAACTTCTCTTCTGCAGGCTTTGAAGATGAAGGAAGGGGCCAAGAGCCAAGGGACCTGGGCAGCCACCAGAAGGGATGCAGGGGCACCTGCAGAGGAACACAGTCCCGCCTCGGCTGCAGCGTGGCAAGACCCACGTTAGCCTTCTCGCCTGCAGAAGCGCGAGGTAATGCATGTGCATTATTTAGGCAGCTGTGGTGACCGGTTACAGCTGACACAGGAAACTGAGAGGCAGGCAAGGCGGCAGCAGCCACCCGATGTGACCCCGGGGTGGCAGATGGCAGTGGAAGGAGTGTGAGGGTGTTGATTTCTTTTTTTTTTTTTTTTTTTTGAGACGGAGTTTCGCTCTTGTGACCCAGGCTGGAGTGCAATGGCGCGATCTCGGCTCACCGCAACCTCCGCCTCCTGGGTTCAGGCAATTCTCCTGCCTCAGCCTCCTGAGTAGCTGGGATTACAGGCACGCGCCGCCATGCCCAGCTAATTTTTTGTATTTTTAGTAGAGACGGGGTTTCACCATGTTGACCAGGATGGTCTCGATCTCTTGACCTCGTGATCCACCCGCCTCGGCCTCCCAAAGTGCTGGGATTACAGGCTTGAGCCACCGCGCCCGGCCGAGGGTGTTGATTTCTAATCTTTCAATTTGTTTGAATTATTTTTGAAAATGTAAACATGTTTTTTAAATAATTTAAAAAATGCTTAAGGTAATTAAAAAGGGAAGGGGAAGAAGAGCCAGGGAAGAAACTGAGGCAGAAACTGAGGCACAGAGGGCCAGATGAGGGGCTGTCTCCCCCCAACACAGGCCACCTCCCTGCCTCTCCGGCAGCCTCACCTGGGCTGCAGGGGATGCTATGATAGAAGGGTGAGGGCCAAGAGCTTCAACTGGAAACAGCGGTGGCTGTCCCTGACTTCTGTCCCTGCCCTCTATATGTCTCCCGGCTTAGGACAACAGAACATGGCTTTGGACCTCAGAGGCGGGGTCCTCATCCTGGCTGCATCTCAGAGTGAACCTGAACAAGCCCCTCGCCCCTCTGAGCTCCAGTCTCGGCATCTGTAAAGCAGGCCTCACAGGACCAGCCCCCTTGGCTCCCTGGGTACGGGACAGGAACCTTGTGCAGAGGGAGACCGTATGCCAGCCATACCCACCAGTGGGGAGCCCAGCAACGTGGGGCCGGGGACTGGGCTTCTGAAAAGGGCCAGATCAGGCAGGCAGACCTGGCAGCTCAGGGGTGCAGGGGCTGACATCAGGAGGTGGGACCCAGCTGATGAAGAGGGACTCCTAGGTGGCCAGGGAATGCTCTGTGACCTACCTTCCTGAGTGGCCCAAGGTGTCCTGATTCTGGCTGCTGCCTCTAACATGCATATCAAAATAGGTAAAGAAATGCCTCTGTCACCCACCACAACAGTGGGGAAGGGTCCTCTTTATCAGACATCCAGTGGGTGAAGCCCCAGACCACCCAACAGCTGTCCCACAGCGGCAAGCCCCCAAGCCCTGAAGGAAGGGCACCCACTCAGCCTGAGACACCAGCTGGGGAATCCCTCCCCAGCTGTCACTCCTCCAGGTCCACTGAGTTTCCACCTGCCTCCTCCCATGCCTGAGGGCGACACAGATGACTCAGCTCCTTTTCTCTGATTGACGCCCTCCGCATCTGGCGTCACTCCTCCACCTGCCTGGTCTTCAGCTCTATTTCTCGATTACTCCCTTCTCCCCTCCCACCTGCTCCCCCTGCCCAGGCCACTGTAACGGGATAAAATGCTGACAGCCTGTGGTGTCATGTGGGGCATGTGGGGACCAGAACGCCTGGATTCCAGACACAGGTCTGCCCACAGCTCAAAGATCACACCCTTCTGTGGGCCTCAGTTTTCCCACCTGTAAGCTGAGAAGCCACAGCAGTGCCTTTCAGACTTCCCTGTAGTGGCAGAGCCTTTATCCAAAGGAAATCGAAAGCTGGCTCTGTGAGTAAAATGGACAAAGACGGGCTGGTGCAGTGTTCACACCTGTACTCCCAGCACTTCGGGAGGCCAAAGTGGAAGAATCACTTGAGCCCAGGAGTTTAAGACCAGTTTGGGCAACACAGTGAGACCTTTCTCTACAAAAACAGTTTTTTAATTAACCAGGCATGGTGGTGTGTACCTGTAGTTCCTACTCAGGAGGCTGAGGTGGGAAGACTGCTTGAGCCCTAGAGTTCAAGGCTGCAGTGAGCCATGATTGTGCACTGCACTGCAGCCTGGGTAACGGAGAGACCTCATCTCTAAAAAAATTAAAATAAAATGGAGAAAAGTGAAGCTGCTCTGATTATAGGTGGGTACAAATGGGCCCCAGCCCCACCCACCCAGAAAGCAAGCCCTGGAGCGCCTTAGAACAGAGTGCATGTGAAAGCCCCGTGGTTGGGCTTTCTGAGGTCCTCTCACCTGCCTCATCTGGGGTGCTGGGCCCCTAACTCCCTTCTCTGCCCCAGGGAGGGGCTACAGCACACAACACTGGCCTCTCACCTGCCCCTCCCCAGGACAGGGTAAGCCCCCAGGCTCACCCTCTGTGTCCCACCCCTACTCCTATGCCTGCTCCTCCATCAGTGGAACCTCCATCCACTACTCTGCCCCGGCATGGTCTCTGGGCTTCCTTGCAGGAGCAGCCCCAGCCTCAGGGCCCCCGAAGGCATCTCTGTCTTCCACAGATCTGGTCATCCAGTCCTGAATTCTCCTTCCTCCAGACCCCTGACATTCACCCTCCTATAGCCACTAACCTAGCGCCTTCTCCCAGCCCCTTCCACTCCGACGTCACTTTCCTGACGTCACTGCCTGACCCTAAACTTCCAAAAGTCTATGGAGTGAGCTTTATATATATAAAAGATAGATTCTCACTGTCACCCAGGCTGGAGTGCAGTGGCAGGATCTCAGCTCACTGCAACCTCTGCCTTCCGGGTTCAAACAATTCTGCCTCAGCCCCCAGAGTAGCTGGGATTACAGGTGCACACCACCACGCCCTGCTAACTTTTGTTTTTTTTTTTCTTAGCAGAGAGGGGGTTTCACCCTGTTGACCAGGCTGGTCTTGAAAATTTGACCTCAAGTGATCTGCCCACCTCAAACTCCCAAAGTGCTGGGATTACCGGCATGAGCCACCATGCCTGGCCAGAGCTTCTATGTCTTAGCTGGAGGCCTCCACGATAGGCACCAACCAGCCTTTTTTCTCAAGCCCCAGACAATACCTTCCTGAGAGCCCCCTCATGTGACCTCCCCTTGGAAACTTCTAGAAGGCTCCTCCTGCCTGGGGCCTGTATCTCAGCCTTCTTTTCTACTTTAGGTTATGGTATGCTGACTGCAGACAGTTGATTGTCAAATTTTTAGGAATTCTGTGATGTAGCTGTTAAGCACAGCCATTAAAAATTAAATTTATATACTTATCATTAACTACATTAAAGACAAGGTAATGGATACTCAAATTTATTAATTTCCAATTATTTCACTGTTTTATTATGTGTGCTCTTGGGGTCAGTCACATCTACTGTATCTGTATGGTGGAAATCCTACAGAATGATCTGACATCTCTTCCCAACTCTGTGTCCAGGGACTTCATGCTGGTAACGCAGCATCAGCCACAGTGGGAGTATTCACACCATGGAATTGGTAAACGATACACGGCAGGGCTTGATTTATTGTTTGGTTGACTGTCTAGACTTAAGCTTAAGTGATAAGAAAATGCTAATAACGCAGACTGAACTTAAAAGTGTGTCACAGCTATCACCATTATATTGTAAATAGAACAAAGAATTGCAAAAATATTCACAATAGGATATTCTCAGATATTCTTTTTTTTTTTTTTTTTTTTTTTGAGGCGGAGTTTCGCTCGTTACCCAGGCTGGAGTGCAATGGCGCGATCTCGGCTCACCGCAACCTCCGCCTCCTGGGTTCAGGCAATTCTCCTGCCTCAGCCTCCTGAGTAGCTGGGATTACAGGCACGAGCCACCATGCCCAGCTAATTTTTTGTATTTTTAGTAGAGACGGGGTTTCACCATGTTGACCAGGATGGTCTCGATCTCTCGACCTCGTGATCCACCCGCCTCGGCCTCCCACAGTGCTGGGATTACAGGCTTGAGCCACCGCGCCCGGCCTATTCTCAGATATTCTTAATAAAAAACGACTATCAGATTTAGCAAAGAAGTCATGCACAACCTGGACCAGTAAAGTTTTGACAAATGTCTCATCATCTTACTCATTACCATAGAGAAAAGTGTCAACCAGTATACATGCTGAAACAACCTGTTTGTTAATTAGTTGTGGATACAAGAGTATGGAAAAATCACTGAGAGCATTCTGAGAAAAATCCATTTGCTATATGGAATTCACAATAAAATTATATATTGGTAAACTGGGTACTAAACATTGTTTTTATTGGTAAAATTTATAATAAACTTACATAGGTATACACACACTTTTTTTCTAGATAGTTTGTCCTAGTTGTGACAACCAAAATTGTTCCCAGATACAGCCAAATGTCCCCAAGGGGGACAAAATGGACCCAGTTAAGAACCACTATCCTAGGCAGATGGTGCATTCTGAGGGCCAGTGGAGACTCCCTCCGGTCCTGCAGACCTCCTGTGGGGGGCCTCGGCCTGGTGGGCCTCGGAGGATTTCCCTGTGTTCAGGGAGTGACTCTTGGGGCCACTGGTCCCCACTTCCCTGGGGGAAGGGTCCGAGTGCAGAGGGTCACACGGGGACTCACAGGCTCTGCAGTTAGCTGGACCCTGGCTCAAATCCCACCTTTGACACCTGCAGGCAGGGTGACCTCAGGCAAGTCACAGCCTCTCAGAGCTCAGTGGCCTTGTCTGTAAAATGGGCACCGTGATCAGGCCCACCAGCTGTGGGGAGATTAAATGAGATGACGCATGTCAAATGCCTCACACGGGTTTCAGCACACACAGGAAGGGCTCCCAAAATCTCGGCTGTTTTCTGATAACACTGCAATCAGAAACCTGCCCCTTCCCCACAAAAAACAGGCCCCCAGCCTTACCTGTGAGATGTAGCCAGGGGGGATGGGGCCGTCCTCCTGGGATCTCGGTATACTCTGAGGAGCCTCCCCTTGGAGACGCCATGCCTCCAGCTGGGCCCGAAGAGCCTGAACCTATGAGGGAGGAGGGTGATCAGTGGGGCCTGGAAGCCGGGGCAGGGCTGGTGGAAGGCAGTGAGGAGCCCACAGGCTGCCAGCTCCACACGGCTGCAAGCCCAGCGTCCCTGGGAGGCTTAGGAATGGCTCAGGGTCTGAAAGAGGGGCAAGCAGCCCTGGAGTGAGATGGGGCCAGGGGACAGGCTGGGCGGTCAATCACCTGGGAGAGCCTTGGCCCAGAGAAGACTAGACAGGGTTGGGAACAGGAAACTGTGGTCACAGATATTTACACATCATGTAGGTGACAGAGGAAACATCTTTGAGCCTCAGTTTTCCTGTGAGTAAAACTGCTAAGGTCCACCCTAAGAGTGGAGGCTGCTGTGAGGATTCCATGAGTCGGTGCAGGCAGAGAAGCCATCCACAGAAGATAATAAACACAATTTAACGGTCTCTCCCGTCTTCTTCTTTTAATTTAAGACAAGGTCTGGCTCTACTGCCCACGCTAGAGTGCAGCGGCTTGATCTTGGCTCACCGCAAACTTGCCTCCTGGGCTCCAGGCATCCTCCCACCTCGGCCTCCCAAGTAGCTAGACGACAGGTGTGCACCAGCACACCCAGCTAGGTTTTGTATTTTTTGTAGACGTGGCGTTTCACCACGTTGCACAGACTGGTCGTGAACTCCTGGGCTCAAGTGATCCTCCCACCTTGGCCTCCCAAAGTGTTAGGATTACAGGTGTGAGCCATTGTGCCTGGCAGGTCTCTCCCTTCTTTTCCCACTTCACTTCTCTGTGGTCGCTAAGGGCAGAACTAGGGGAAAAACAAACAAACAAAAAAAACCAAACCAAACTACTAAGATCTAAGGAAGAAGATTCTTGTTCACAGGAGTGGAGGGTATACACTCACAGCAGATCAGGGGTGAGCTCTCCATCCCTGTAGGAGTGCAAGGACAAATGCCAGGGCATGGACGCAGGGACTGGAGGGGCGCAGGGGCGAGGGGCCTCCTAGAGAGCCGGCCGTGGGGCCTACCTCTTTCTCCAGTGCCTCATGGCTGTCACTTTGGGGTCCCCGGCGCTCTCCACGGCTCTGGTTGAGCAGGGCAGTGAGTGGCACCCGCTTATTCTCCCGCAGAGGCAGCTTCTCCAGCTCCTGCCACTTCTTCTCGATCTCCTCACTGAGCCGGCTCTGCTGGTCCTCAGTCAGGGGGGCACCCAGGCCCCGGCGTGGCCCCTCACCAGCGGGCACCTCTGGGGCCCTGCTGTCTGTGGCCTCGAACCACTTGCGCCGCTCCTCGGAGCGCTGGGCCAGGTCCCGCTCCAGCTCCTCCTGCTTGGCCAGGCGGTCGGGAGCACGGGCCGAGGTGCGGGCCCGCTGCGGGGAGGCCTGGGTCAGCGGGGAGAGCTCCACGTAGTCCAGGGCCTGCCGCTGCCCGTCCGCCTTCCGAGGGCCACCTCGGCTGATGACCTCAGAGCCTGCCCGCTGCTGCCCTGCCTTCAGGGGGCCCTTCTGGGTGCTGTAGCTGTGTAGCGCATTCTCCTTATTAGAGTCCGAGAGCCTAGGGCACCAGCAGAGCCACGTCAGGTGGGTCCTCTCCCACTCAGTCCCACAACGAACTCTTCTGGAGTGACACCTGTGTGCCAGGCCCTGTGCCAGGGGCTGGAGACAGACCCCAGGGAAGGAAGCAGCCTGACCTGAGCTTCCTGGCTAACAGACCCCGGGAACATCCCAGCTCCACCACTTGACATCCCAGGGGCCCGCCAGGTCACCTGGCTTCCCTTGCCCCCTCTTCTTGCAGGTTTCTCAAGGGACAGGGCCTCTTGCCCTGGCTGAAGTAGAGCAGTGAGATCATAGTTCACTACAGCCTTAGACTCTTTAGCTCAAGTGATCTTCCTGCCTCAGCCTCCAGAGTAGCTGGGACTATACTCATGCACCACCGTGCCCAGCTAATTTTTTAAATTTTTGGTAGAGATGGGGGTCTCAATATATTGCCCAGGCTGGTCTCGAACTCCTGAGTTCATGTGATCCGCCCACCTCATCCTCCCAAAGCACTGGGATTACAGGTGTGTGCCACCACACTGGCCTCATTGCCCTCTCTGAGCTTCAGTGACCTCATCTGTAACGTGGGACAGCACCACCTCTCGAAAGATGGATGTGAGGACTGGGTGGGCGAGCATGGAAAGCAGGCAGAAGGCTTTCTGCCAATGGTGATCAGTGAGTTGCTGCAGGAGACAATGGCCTGTGTTCCCGAGGCTCAGAGTGGTAATGGGGGTGCCCACAGTCACTGCTGATGGGTGAAGGCAGGGACCTCAGGGTGCACAGAGCACAAGCTGTAGAGACTCTGAGCATCTATAGCAATTTCTTTTTTTTTTTGAGACGGAATCTCGCTCTGTTGCCCAGGCTGGAGTGCAATGGCACGCTCTCGGCTCACTGCAACTTCTGCCTCCCAGGTTCAAGCATTTCTCCTGCCTCAGCCTCCCAAGTAGCTGGGATTACAGGTGTGCGCCACCGTGCCCAGCTAATTTTTGTATTTTTAAGTAGAGATGAAGTTTCATATGTTGCCCAGGCTGATCTTGAACTCCTGCACTCAAGTGATCGTCCCATCTCAGTCTCCCAAAGCACTGGGATTACAGGTGTGAGCCACCACACACAGCCCAGCTCCGTTTAACACCACACTCTGGGTTGAGCGCAGTGGCTCACGCCTGTAATCCCAGCACTTTAGGAGGCCGAGGCGGGCAGATCATGAGGTCAGGAGATTGAGACCAGCCTGGCCATGGTGCAACCCCACCTCTACTAAAATACAAAAATTAGCCAGGCATGGTGGTATGTGCCTGTAGTCCCAGCTACTCAGGAAGCTGAGGCAGGAGAATCGCTTGAATCCAGGAGAAGGAGGTGGCAGTGAGCCAAGATCACGTCACTGCACTCCAGCCTGGTGACAGAGCAAGACTCAGTCTCAAAAAAAAATTAAATTAAATTAAATTTTAAAAATACCACACTCTGTTCCCACTGCCCAGCAGCTCCAAGTCCCAGCCCACCATGGCCATCTGGGGTTTATACTGTGGGGGGCTCTGCCACTAGGTAACTCAGCTCTCCTGCCCCAATGCCCGTGGCAGCCTCCAGAGGGAGTGGGCTCTCCATCCCAGGAGGCATGGGTGCCGATGCCAAACTACTTAGCCACCCCTTTCCAACACAGGGTTAGACACAGCCCCCATGGCAGAGACAGAACAGCCCTCTACCAGGGGCTTCTGACTCACAGGATCTCCTTCAAAGAGAAAGGGCCCCATCCAGCACATGTGAGGAGGCAGATCAAACCTCTCACCCTCAGTGTATTTCAGGATGATGCCAAGAATGCTCACTGCTCTCTTCCCACGTGGATAGGGAAACGAGGGCCCAGAAGGCAAAGCCCTCAGTAGAAACCTGCTCAGGGATGGAAGGCCAAGTGCTTTCCCCACGGCCCCAGTCCAGCTTAGTACGTACTTGGTGACATCTGGGGCTGAGGTTGGACGCACGGTCTTTCTCAGAGCCTCAATCCAGTTCCGCCGGATGCCTGAGGTCATGGCCGACAAGGTATAGACAGCATCCTTGGTCTGTAAGGCCACCGCACAGGTTGGTTGCCACATGGCCAGCCCCATCTCCCTCCCCACCATGGATCCCGGGGGGGCTGACTCTTCCTTCCCAGGAGGTGTCTAAGGTCTTGACTCTGGGGTGGGCACGGGGTACAAAACCTCCCTTCCATTGGCCCAGGAGGAGCCCTGCTGGCTCCAACGTCTTTCCACATATGCTAAGTGTTGGCATCACAGCTCTGTCTGGCTCTGAGGACAGAGTCTCTGGGTAAATGAGTGACAGGGATCTGGCCTCCATGGTGAGCCATGTTCAATACCAAAAACTCTCCCAGGGGCCTCCAGCCATGCTGCCCACCACCAGCCCCCAAGCTGCACGCAGGCTCACGTGGATCTGGAAGCCGTAGTTGCGCTGCACCGCATACTCAGTGACGTCCGTGCAGGAGCGCAGGTCGATCTCGCCGTCCAGCTCATCTGCCTGGAGCAGGAGGGCCCACTACGGTCCACATGGGCCCTGGCGTGACCCACCCCACTGACCCCAGCCAGGCCACCCCAAGCCCTTCTGGGGGTTCATCAGTACATCCCTGAGCTCACCTCCTCAGCAGTGGAGTCTCTGTAATATTTGAGGCTTGAATCTGTCAGCACAAACCAATGCTTCTTCCACTGCGAAGTAGAGGTGGTGGTGAGCGAGGGGGAGGGAGGCTGCAAGGAGGGTAGAACGAGAGAGCCAGTGTGTGCGATTGGACAGGTGTCCTGGGTGGCTGCCAAACTGACTGTGCTACACACAGGAGGGGTGCGGAAGCAGGAAATGCTGAGTTGAGACCTGGCCCCTCCATTTCCTCTCTGAGCTTCAGGGGCAGCATCTGTGAAGTGGGCTGGCTTCCCCTCCCTTTCCTTCTTGGAGCCCTTTTTAAGATGACCAAGGCTCCGCGGGCACCCCAAACCCAGTGCAGACAGGGAGGGGTGATGACTTGTGTAAGCAAGTCAGGGACTCAGTGGGGCCAGGACTTCATGTCTTTTTCCATATTCCCCAGATCATCACCACGGTCAGGGACAACAGTCCCTCCGGGCGTAGGACTGGATGGAGCCCTGGGGTAGGGGTAGGAGTGAGTGCCAGGCACAATCTGCTTTTTTTGTTTTTTTGAGATGGAGTTTCGCTTTTGTTGCCCAGGCTGGAGTGCAGTCTGTGCGATCTCAGCTCACTGCAACCTCTGCCTCCCAGGTTCAAGCAATTCTCCTCAGTCTCCTGAGTAGCTGGGATTACAGGCACCTACCACTGCCCCTGGCTAATTTTTGGTATTTTTAATAGAGACAGGGTTTCACCGTGTTGGCCAGACTGCTCTCAAACTCCTGACCTCAGGTGATCTGCTCAACTCGGCCTCCTGAAGTGCTGGGATTATCGGCCTGAGCCATCGCACCCGGCCACACAGTCTGCCTCTTGGGATCTGCAGGCTGGCTGCCCACATGTGCAGCAGGTGAGAGCACACTAACCTGTACGTTTAGGATTTGTGATTGGGTGCATTCCTGCACTGCCTGTCTCTGCTCCAGCTCGGGGTTAGATTGGCAGGACATGTAGGAAAGGGGTGGGGGCGCCAGAACAGCCCAATATTATGCCAAGCCCAGCCCGCCTCTGGGATTCTCCATACTCCACTGTAATCCCGGTCTTGGCCCGCCTACTGCCAGGGTCAGTGCATGTCACCCGGTCCCCAGCCCTCCCGGGGTTTCCTCGCATCACCAAGCCCTGTCTGTGCTGTTGGGTGTTTCAAGTACTTAGTTTTCTCTCCTCAAGAAGACGGTGAGTTTTCAGGGGGCATGCAAGGATGACACTTTCTACTTCTTTCCACATTGCCTCCCTGAGAAACAAGGTTTAGCACCCAAGAGCTCCCTTGCTTGCTGTGTGCCTGTAGGCAAGTGTCTCCACTTCTCTGAGCTGCAGTCTTCTGACCCATAAAGGAGAGCTATAAGAAGTCCCTATGCCTGGCATCAGTCCTTCATGGGAGCTGGAGGTGGCAGTGAGCCAAGATTGAGCCACTGCACTCCAGCCTGGGTGACAGAACAAGACTCTGTCTCGAAAAAAAAGAAGTCCCTACACCTTCCGGTGAGGTAAGAGGTGCCTGACCCTCTCTTGTATGTATGGCTGTCATGGCCCTTGGCACGGGCATGGACACCAAGTCATTGGGTTTGTTCTGGGAGGCCGGGCCTCTTAGAACCATTCTGCTCTCATTGAGTGAACTGAGTTGCTACTGCAGACCTCAACTGCCTCTCTGTAAAGTAGGACAGGAGCTCCATGCCAAGTGGCTTCTTTAGCTTTTCCAGGCCTAGCCTACGACGGTCTGAGATGGAAGCTGGGTGGAACTCCGTGGGCCTCAGGTGTGCTGAGTTCTCAGCCCCACGTGCTCCTAGGCCTGGAAGAGACTGACACCCTCGTGCGCCTGTCTCCTGTCTGTGCACCAAGGGGTTGAGCTGGCTGAACTCCCAGGGCCCTTCCAGCTCGGACATTCCAGAACCCTGTGATAGAGGATGAGTAATGGCCAGCTCTGGGTGGGGCCCGTAATCCCTCTGCCCTCCGGGGACCCTGGGTGGGGAGGCCGGGAAGGGGTCACTGGCCAGGTGCCAGCCTTTGTGTGAGCCTAGAGAGCAGCCGCCAGGGGCGGCGGGCAGGCAACGGGTAAGGAAGGCTGTGGGCTGGAGGGAATAAAACATGTGGGCCGGAAACACAATGAAATCCCCTCTGGCTCGGAGCCCTCCCTGGCATGCAGGCTGCACGCAGACCGGAGCGGTAGGCGCATGCAGGGCCGGGGTGGGGAGACGCTCCCGCCCAGGCAGGGCGGGCAGGGAGCCAGCCTGGCAGCCAAAAGAACAGAGCTGGGAAACGGCCACTGTCCCTACTGGTTCCAAGGACACATATGCCACAGGAAGGGAAGGGTCTTTAGCTGAGCCCACAGTAAGTGCCAGGGGCTGTTGGCACCTCTACACGCTTGATCTCTGTGACCTTGTTATCCACGTGGAAAGAATTGTCATTATCAATTATGCTCATGTTACAGATGTGGCCACTGAGGCCTAGAGGAGGCTGTGACTCAACCCCAACTAGTGGGGCTCCAGGTGGGTGAAACTCCAGCACCTGTGCCCTGAGCCCCGCCCCTTCAGCCCAGGCTTTAGGAATCTGTGTCTCGGGCCAGACAACTTCCATCAGCCCTTCCACCCAAGACCCTCGACTCCCAGCCAGGCTCCTACTGAGGTGGGAGGGCCAAGAGGCTCTTGATGAGATCAAGGGATGGGGCACTGGGCGTGAGGGGCTAGACGGCCCCCACCCTGGTCCCTTTTACACACTGCAGACTGCTCCAGGAGGCAGAAGTCTGATGGGCAGCACCTGCCCCCAGGGTTCTCACACCAGACCTGACCCCCACCCCCACCCCCACCCCCAGAAGCCAGGGACAGCTCAGCCTCCTGGGCTGCCGGACATCAGCACAAGCCAGCCTCCTCCCGGCCCCCCTTGGTCCTCCTACCTCTCCAGGCTCATCCAAGATTGACATCCATCCCTTCTTGAAGTTGAGCAGATCGGGCTGTGGGGAGAGGAGGAGGGAGGTGAGTCGGGGCCAGCAGGAAGCTGATGGGGGTTGGTGAGGGGGACATGCTGCACCCACCCTGCCTCCAAGTCCTGTGGGATGGAGCTCCTAGGAAGCCAGCCAAAAGGGCTAAGGGCCGAGGTAACCCCCAGGTCCAAGCAGGCTCTCCAGCCACTGAGGCAGACCTAGCCCCTTTCCTGATAGCGGCACTTGGAGAGCTGAGAAGTTGGACTGGGCGGGTGGCACGCTCACCCAGATGTCCCAGGGCCCTCCCTCCAGCCCACCCCTCAGCCAAGAGTGGGAGAGAGGGGCTGGGAGGACTCCGCCTGTAAAGAGACCTCCTTAGAGCTCAGAGGGCGGCCCAGACCAGCGGCACTGCGCAAACTGTCCAGTTCCTCCCTCTGATGAGGACCAGGTGGCCTGAGGGGACCACACCTCATGTTTCTGCCTAGCCTGCCCCACGGGCCCCACCAGTCCTGCCCTTCCCTTGGCTCCAGGAGACTATGGGAGGTAGAGCCAGTCGCAGGCTGGGGTCAGGAACCCTCTGGTCCCCCCCAGATCTCTTTGGAAAGCTAAGGTACGTCAGTCCCAGCGAGCCCTACCTTCTGGGTGCTGCCCAGAGGGGCACAGCCCCAGAGTCTGGGGGCTGCCAGCTGTAGCATGTTCCATGGGGGCCGTGCCAGGCACCCCCACCCAGGCTTAAAGAAGTTGCTCATCCCAGCATTTTTCTCCCCATGCCCATCTGGTGGGTGCCAACCACCAGACCCTCCCTGCCTGCTGGGGAGACCTCTGTCATCTAAGTCCTGGTCCCTCTGCGGTCTCAGCTCCTGCCACCAGCTGGGAGGAGGTGGCCACCTGTTGCCATAGCTCTAAGCCTACCTATCAGCACCTACATCAAGGCCTCACTAGGCCAAGGTGTCTGGTTGCGTGCAGAGAGCGAGTGGCATGGCTCAGTGGGGTGGGTGGTGACAGTGGCAGCTGGAAACCAGAGCCACCTTGTGTCTGGCCACCTCTCCTGACCCACCCTCCTCCCACAGAGTCCCTTCTCAGGTAGAGGGAGTGGACCAAGGGGGGCTTGGGGCAGCTGAAGATCCAGAACCCCCCACAGCCATGGTGGGCGGCCCCAGTAGCATGGTATCCCAGCCCCTCCCTGCATGCCTCTAAGGGAGAGACACAGGCTCTGCTCAGAGCTGAGAACCCCTGGGCTGCATCTGTCCCGCTGCTCTCAAATGCCCACCGTCTTCCACCTGAGACAGAGGCTGCCCAGGGTGACCCTAAGCTAAGACTGAAGACTGGTGACCACACCTGGCTCTACTTTCATTCAGTATGGGATCTCCTGTGGCCCCAGGGCCTTGCAGGGGAGGGGACCTGAGCACAGCAAGGCTCACGAAAAACTTGCTGAGGAAATATCTACCCTCTTCTATCCCCCTGGTCTAAATTCCTGTGCTTTATGGGCAGTCTCCCCAACCCCTACCTAGCCTGGAGGAGCCAGGCTTCCTGGGCCCACAGAGCTGGCGCCACTGAGCGGGCCCGGACGAAAGTCCCTGGGCCAGGGCTGGGAGATCAGGGGCAGGAAGGATGGAACGTCTAGGGCTGCCTGGGAAGTGGAGCTGCCGTGACCTTCCTACATCACAGCTCCTTTCTGAGTCCTGGCTGCCTGATGTGGCAAATGACGGGGCAGTCCTTTCCTCCTGCAGCTTCCGACAGGACTGAACGTGTCCGTACAAGGAGAAGCCTGGTGATGCTCCAGAGCCCAGTACAGACACATCACACACCATGTCAGGCACGCCATGACACAGTGACCTTGGGATTAGGAGGTCACCGATGTGAGTTTTGTTTTGTTGAGACACGGCCCTGCTCTGCTGCCCATTTTGGAGTGTGGTGATGCAATCACAGCTCACTGCAGCCTTAACCTCCCGGGATCAAGTGGCCCTTCCACCTCAGCTTCTAAGTAGCTGGGATGACATATACACTCCATCATGCTCACTAATTTTTTTTTTTTTTTGGTAAAGATGGGGTCTCCCCGTTTCCCAGGTTGGTCTCGAACTCCTGGGCTCAAGTGATCTGCCCACCTAGGCCTCCCAAAATGCTGGGATTACAGACGTGAGCCACTGTGCCTGGCCAACCAATGTGAGTTTTCAAACTGGCAGGGAAACCTGTCCCCAGGGTCAAAAGGTCCCATCATCGAAATCTCCCACGATGCCCCTTCATATAGGGCTCTTCAGGCTCAATTGCCTCTTCTTCACCTGCTGAAAGCTACCTTTTGGGAACACTGGCAGGTTCTCATGGCCCTGCCTCCCACCTGGACAGGGACACAGCTCCCTCTATGCACCCTTGGGCTGGCAGGACTCACTAAAAAAGGCCTGGTGCCCCAAGCTGACTTAAAATTTCCAGGGATAGCTCCAGGTGACTTTATTTATTTTTGAGACAGTCTCTGCTGCCCAGGCTGCAGTGCAATGGCACGATCTCGGCTCACTGCAACCTCCGCCTCCCAGGTTCAAGTGATTCTCTGACCTCAGCCTCCCAAATAGCTGGGATTACAGGTGCCTGCCACCATGCCCAGCTAATTTTTTTTATTTTTAATAGAGATGGGAGTTTCACCATGTTGGCCAGGCTGGTCTCGAACTCCTGACCTCAAGTGATCCACCGACCTCAGCCTTCCTAAGTGCTGGGATTACAGGTGTGAGCCACCACACCCAAACTTTGGGTGGCTTTAAAACCAAGTCCAGCTTCCTCAGGATGGCAGGGAAGCACCATCACACCCTTGCAGCCTGGCCTCCCCTTGCTGAGGGGCCTGTGTTTATACTACTGCACAGTCCTTGCCGATCCCAACCTAGCAGCACTCCGGGCCCTTCACACGTGCCGTGTCCTTGGCCTGAAATACTAGGCTTCCTCCTCTGATGAGCAGGCAAGCCCCTACTCGGGCCTTAAGATTAGGCTTAATGGCCACCTCTGAGGTCCCCTCACAGTCCATGCCACTCACCGCACCACCAGATGCCCCTGTCCTGGCCTCCCATGGCCTCTCGCTGAGGCCTCTGTTGCATCTGTGACTGTCTTGGGGCCATTTACTTATCCTTCGCAGGCTAAACTGACTAGATGCAAGTCACAGTCAGGGACACACTGTTTACCCACCAGGACCCAGCACAGATGGGGAGGCAGGGAGTGTTCACAAAAATTTATTTTCTTTTTCTAAAGCAGGTGTCCCCAAACTACGGCCCACGGGCTGCATGCGGCCCCCGGAGGCCATTTATCCAGCCCCCTGCCACACTTCAGGAAGGGGCACCTCTTTCATTGGTGGTCAGTGAGAGGAGCACAGTATGTGGCGGCCCTCCAACGGTCTGAGGGACAGTGAACTGGCCCCCTGTGTAAAAAGTTTGGGGACGCCTGTTCTAAAGCATCAGGCACTGTTGTAGGCCAAGAAATTAGCTGTGACGGAGAGCTGCGGCCCCTGACCTGGCGGACTGTAGGAGAGAGACAGACAGTCCGTACGGGACCAAATATAATCTGATGCCCAGTAGGCGCTGGGGAAGGAGGCTCCAGGAGCAAAGCTGCACCCAGGCAAAGGCAAAAGGGGTGGAAGAGGATCCTGACTCCATGAAGCCTCGGAGCCTTACACACTCGCACACCTGTGCCACTTGCTCTGTATGGATCCCTGACTCAGGGCATGGGGGCCAGGGGAGGAAGGTACAGAAGGAGCACCAGCTAAGAGCAGGCTGAGGTCCGCGTGGCAGCCAGGGTGAACTCAATGAACACTTTTTTTTTTTTTTTTTGGAGACGGAGTCTCACCCTGTTGCCCAGGCTGGAGTGCAATGGCACAATTGGCTCACTGCAACCTCCACCTCCGAAGTTCTAGCAATTCTCCTGCCTCAGTCTCCCGAGTAGCTGGGACTACAGGCAGGTGCCACCACACCTGGCTAATTTTTTGTATTTTTAGTAGAGACGGGGGTTTCACCATGTTGGCCAGGCTGGTCTCAAACTCATGACCTTGCGATCCACCCGCCTTAGCCTCCCAAAGTGCTGGGATTACAGATGTAAGCCACCACATCTGGGGCCTCAATGAACACTATTAATGATGATCATAGCCTCCTCTCTGCTCTAAAAGCTTTCATGTCTCCTAGTTGCCCCTGAGCAAGCCCTAGCAGTGAGGCCCTCCTCCCCAGATCCCTTCCTGATGCTCTTGCTAGTTCTCAAACACAACCACTAGCTTCTGTCCACACTGCTGTCTCCTCACTAGTCCATCTCTGCCTGACAAAGCCCTATAATCACAGGAAGACACCTCCCTCGGGAAGGCCTCCTGCCACCAGCAAGCACCTTTCCTCTTGCTCTGCACGTGCTGCCCCCAGGACAGGCAACTGTGTACATTTCTTATCTCTCCAAAGAAAGAAAGCTGGAACAGACCTGGATACAAACTCTGGCTCAGCCTGGGACTCTCTGAGCCACCTGGGGCATGACACTTCATCTCGCCACACCTTAGTTTCCTCATCTATTTGATGAAGACGTTACTATCAACCTTCAAGAATCAGATCTGGTAACGTGAAGGCAGCCGGCAGAGGGCCAGGCAGGCACCCGGTGAGCAAGGCAACCACTCTCCTCCTCCCCCCCGCCCCCCACATCCCTTCTGCTCCTGACAGGGAAGGGGAGGCTGCTGACCACAGGAAAGGCCAGCAGGGAGGTGGCAGGATGTCCAGGAGGAGGCGGAGGAAGTCCAGCCAAGGCGTTCTGGCCATCACACTCACAGAGCATGCCACGCCCCCCAGCAGCCCAGCCCACTCATCCGCAGGGTCTCCACTCCCTTGAAAGACGACTGCCCGCGCCTGTGCACATACACACCCTGCTCATCCTCCCCTAGCGAGGCCACTGGGCTGTCGGAGCCTCCCTGAAGCACTAGCCAGAAATCAAAAGCAGCCCCACCCCTCCCTTCCCGAACATCATGGTCAATGGGCCAGAGCACCAGGAAAGGAAGTACTCCTTCCCTTATACCTAGGATGACCACCGGC